CTGTGGACGTCCTCACGGGCCTCAGTCTGAGGGCAGCTGGGGCTGTGCTTGAGTCCCTGTGACCTCGTCACCAGTGGGTGTGGGCCATGGCCGGTGCCCAGTGGGGAGGGCCTTGGGCCTCGGGTCCCAGCCTCCTGCGTGATACCGTGTGCCCGGTCTCTGCAGGTCTCAGGAGCTCCACCTGCGCCCCGAGTCCCACTCGTACCTGCCCGAGCTGGGGAAGTCTGAGATGGAGTTCATGGAGAGCAAGCGCCCGCGCCTGGAGCTGCTGCCCGAACCCCTGCTGCGGCCGTCCGCGCTGCTGGCCACAGGCCAGCCCAGCGGCTCTGAGGACCTCACCAAGGTTAGGCCTGGCCCTGGCTGGGAGCCTGTGCTGACGTGGGTTCTGCTGCTGATTGACGGATGGGAGGGGCCTGTGCCCAGGGAGAGGGCCACTTGGGCAGGGGTGCGGGTGTGGGAGTGCGCACAGGGCGGGCAAAGCCCGGGCAGCAGGGGAGGCACAGGGACGAGGTCTCTGCAGGTGCCAGAGGATGAGAGGAGCTGGAGAGGTGTTGCAGATGGTAAGGGGCCGTGCAAAGGCCTGAGGCAGGGAGAGAAGAGGGATCCTTGGGGCAGGGAGCTAGGTCCTATGCCATCCAGGGCAGCTCCATGTCCACCCTCTGTACCGTCCGTGCTCATGGTGGGCTTGCCCTGGGGCTGTGGCCTGGGCAGCTCCTCCCTCACTACCGTGACGCCTCCCCGGGCTCCTAGTGCAGGACTTCTGGCCCTGGGTGGGCGCTGGCTAGTCCTCCAGGCTCTGGGCCGCATGGAGGCCAGGTGTGGGGAGCAGCTCCCTCGTCCTCTCCGGGGGCGTCCATGGACACGCAGCTGGCTTTTGTGACATGCACTACCCATGGGCGTTTGCGGCCACACTGGTTCAGGAATGTTCTGGCCACCTGGGAGACCAGGACTGTCAAGGGTCTCTTCCTCCTGCCCGCCTCGGACGTCCATCTGGCGTCTCTGCTCAGTGGGCCCCTGTGCCAAGGTGCTCTGTCTGCCCCCACTTGGCCTCCCACTCTCAGGTACCCTCCGCAGTGGGTGCCGGCTGACTCAGGGCCAGGTGTGGGTGGACATGCCATGTCCTACTGTCTCTTGTGGGCTCCCTGTGTCTCAGCCCATCGTGGGGGGCTGCTGGCCCCAACTGCTCCTCATAATTCTCAGGGACGGGGACTTCCCGGGGTAGCGCTGCATTTGGGCTGAGGGTCTGGGCTCCCAGTTTCTCCGGCTTGCTGTGGCCAGGAAACCTGGAGGCCTGTGGAGGCGACATCCGGTCAGCTCCTGTGTCCCCTGGCCTCAGAGGGCAACATCGAGGCCAGGGGACACACCCAGCATTGTCCCAAGCTCTCAGCCCCCAGGGCCTGGCTTTGGCTCAAGAGGGAGGACAGGCATGGTGTGGCTCCTGGTTCCGAGGCCCGGGCGCATGTGGGCCTGGGCCTGGTGCTGGGGACAATGTCCCCTGTGTCCGTGTGCAGCTGTGGGGGGCGGGAGGTGGCCCTCAGACCTCTGCCAGCAGCTGCCAGCTGGAAACCCAGGCTGGGGCCAGCACCTGCTGAGCGCTGACTGTATGCAGGGCCCCCGCCTTCCACATGTTAGTACCCACCAGGTTCAAGGCTGCCTGGGAGCTGGGGACCATCTGTCCCCGAGGTACAGATGAGGAAGCAGGCGGGAGAGCCGGGTGCTCTGCTGGGGGCGCTGGAGCTTGGCTCCCAGTGAGCGCGGTGCCGCCCGACCTCAGCCCAGAGGCCCGGCACAGCCTGGGCGTCCAGCACAGGGGCTGCGGAGTCCTGGGGTGAGCTTCCTTGAAGAGCAGCCTGACTGGGGTCAGTGTGTCCCTGCCCACGGCCTGGAGGGCTCTGTCTACCCCTGTGCCCTGCTGGGGTTTCCAGGTGCCCACCGGGCGCTTCCCCTGGGCGCCGTGAGGGAGGGTCTATGGGGCCAGGCCTGGGGCCAGGCGGGGTCCTGTTCTTGTTCTTGGGGAGCCTGGTCTGGTGTGTGGCACAGGGAGGCTTCATGCCCGGGGGGAGGGGGCAGGTGTGCCCAGGGTAGGCAGTGACCTCGTGTCGAGGTGGGCAGGATGCTGAGTTGGGCAGGATGCTGACGTGGAGGTCCTGGAGAGGCAATGGCCAGCGCCCTCCTTGGTGGGGACAGCCCTGGTGGCCTGGTGGGAAGCCCTCTCCACGGCCGGAGCAGGGGTACCGACGCCGTGCCCACCTGCACCCTCCTTCTGCACGCAGGAGCGCAGTCTGACGGGCAAGCTGGAGCCTGTGTCGCCCCCCAGCCCCCCGCACGCCGACCCCGAGTTGGAGCTGGTGCCCCCCCGACTGTCGAAGGAGGAGCTGATCCAGAACATGGACCGCGTGGACCGCGAGATCAGCATGGTGGAGCAGCAGATCTCCAAGCTGAAGAAGAAACAGGTGTGGGTGGGCCCGGGGGGCCTGGGCGGTCACCAGTGTAGTTGGCAGGCTCCCCACGTGGGGACTCTGGAGCTCGGGGTCCCCTGACAGGCGCAGGGGGTCCTTAGGAAGGAGCACGGAGCCCCCAGACAGGAGCTGGGACCTGGTTTGAATAAAGTCCGGTTCAGACTTAGGAGGCTCTGTGCTGTGCTGGGCTGTGGGCAGGAGGCAGAGGGAGCAGGTCAGAGGGCAGATGGTAGGAGGGCAGGAGGCAGAGGGCAGGCTTTTGGAGGGTGGGCGGCTCTCCCCGGCCCTGCCCCCTGGCCTTGGGGTGGGCCGGGGTCCACTGCGAGGCACTTTTCCTCGCCTGCGTCTGGTGGCAGCCAACCTCCATATCTGGGCCTCCCAGCTGCGCCCCTGCTAGCCGGGGCCTGTGCCCCACCTCTGGGAGCCTCCGTTTCCTCCTCTGTGAGGTGGGCACAGGCGTGAC